AATTCGGAACTCTTTGTCTGAGGAAATTCGGAATAATGTGCAGAGTTGTCGGTCAGAATTCGGTACGAAATCTGATGTAAATTCCTGGGGAAATTCTGAAGGAATTTTCGACAAATCTGATTGAAGTCTGGTACCATGTCTGACATTCTTTCGACATTTCGTACGAAAGTCTGATCAAATATAAGAAAGTCTGATAGATGTCATATAAATGTCTGATAAAATGTCCGACATTTCGTTCAAAAGTCTGATCAAGTATAAGAATGTCTGATAGATGTCGGATAAATGTCTGATAAAATGTCCGACAGTTCGTACAAAAGTCTGATCAAGTATAAGAAAATGGCCTGACTATTCTGATCAACGTCTGATGAAAACTATTTTCATATATACAATTTATTATGGTTTAAGTTTATTAATTTTAATAATAATTTATAAGCTTCCATTATTCATGACTTCTTAAGGGTACATAAATAAATAATAGAAATTTATAGATTATTTTTAAAATTAATAAAATTAAACCATACTACTTACGTATTATATACGAAAATAGAGTTCATTATATACATCTATTTAAAATTATAAAATTAAACCATAAAAAATGATGTAATTTGTTTGCTAATTTTTGTGTATTAACAAAGTTTAAAGAAATTTAAACAATAATCATCACATATGCAGATGTTGTTTACTTGATTTCCAAAAACTAACTGAGAAAATAAAAGAAAATAAAAATTAAATTCCCTTTTAAAGTACAGTTGACGAATTTCAAAATATAAACAGGTTTGTGCATGATTTTTATAAAAAAAAAACAAAATTTCCTTCAGATAATGTGCAGAGTTGTCGCAAAATTTTCTTACAAAAGTACTGAAAATGGGAACAAAATGACCGAGCAAAAAATATCAGAAAATGTGCAGACTATTCTGTTAAATATCTAAAGGAACGTTACAAAAACAATTCTCTTCAGATTATGTGCAGATTTATCGGATATAATTCTTAATCCATTTTATATTTTACTTCAGAAAATGTATAGACTATTCTCCTTTATGTCTAAAAAATAATATAGGAATAAAAAATCAAATTGTCCTCCGCCAATGTGCAGATTAGTCTCATAATTGTCGTAACACTGAAATTCCCTTTCGACAATGTGCAGACAAGTCTGATATTAATCGTTTAATACTTCAGAAAATGTGCAGAAAAGTCTAACAAACAGTTTGCCGATTATTCTGTAAAATGTCTAAAGGAAATTTAGAAATTCGTTAAAAATTCTGATAAAGTATAAGAATTATTTCAGAAAATTTCTGACATCAGACATGTCTGAAAAAATTGTTTACTGGGACGTTACGTTGTTATTGGCTAGAAACATGAAATTAAATATGTAGAGCCTGGATTAGGCAAGAACACATTAAAGGGCACTTATTGGTACTTTTTCGTTCTCCAAAGGGTACTTTTTGAATTTTCTATAATATTGTACCTAGAAACATGAAATTTAGCATGTAGGGCCTTGACTAGGTAAGAACCTATTAAAGGGGACTTTTTGGTACTTGTTCGTTCTACAAAAGGTACTTTTTGAATTTTCTATAATATTGAACCTAGAAACATGAAATTAAGTATGTAGAGCCCGGATTAGGCCAGAACACATAAAAGGGGCCTTTTTGGTACCTTTTCGTTCTACAAAAGGTACTTTTTGAATTTTCTATAATATTGAACCTAGAAACATGAAATTTAGCATGTAGGGCCTGGACTAGGTAAGAACCTATAAAAGGGGACTTTTTGGTACTTTTTCGTTCTACAAAAGGTACTTTTTTAATTTTCTATAATATTGAACCTAGAAACATGAAATTAAGTATGTTGAGCCCGAATTAGGTCATATCAAATAAAAGGGGACTTTTTGGTACTTTTTCGTTCTACAAAAGGTACTTTTTGAATTTTCTATAATATTGAACCTAGAAACATGAAATTTAGCATGTAGAGCCTTGACTAGGTAAGAACCTATAAAAGGGGACTTTTTGGTATTTTTTCGTTTTACAAAACATACTTTTTGAAATTTCTATAATATTGAACCTAGAAATATGAAATTAAACATAAAGAGCCCGGATTAAGTTAGAACGTATAAAATGAGATACAATTGGTATTTTTTGATTTTTTTGTAATAAAATTCGTACTGACTGTTTTTTAACGCATCATGGTGAAGATGCGGCACAGCCGAATATAGTACTCTTACTTGTTTTGTCAACAAATTGTTAAAATATTTCTGAATTAAGGTAAAAATCAAAATTAATGCTTTATTTTGAACAAATGATCTATAATATTAACATAATCACTACTGTAGGGTATCATATGGTCGGCCATGTTCGACTATACGTTCTTACATGGTTTAAAACTGACACTATTCTTGTTACCAAGATCGTATAAAAGATGTCACGTCCATTATTGATAGTTTGTCCATTTGTTCTGCGAATGTTCAGATGGATGTAAGTTAGTTAGTTAGTTAGTTAGTTAGGTAGTTAATTGGTTAGTTAGTTAGGTAGCTAGTTAGTTAGTTAGTTAGTTAGTTAGTTAGTTATTTAGTTAGTTAGTTAGTTAGTTAGTTAGTTAGTTAGTTAGTTAGTTAGTTAGTTAGTTAGTTAGTTAGTTAGTTAGTTAGTTAGTTAGTTAGTTAGTTAGTTAGTTAGTTAGTTAGTTAGTTAGTTAGTTAGTTAGTTTGTTAGTTAGTTAGTTGTTAGTTAGTTAGTTAGTTAGTTAGTTAGTTAGTTAGTTAGTTAGTTAGTTAGTTAGTTAGTTAGTTAGTAGTTAGTTAGTTAGTTAGTTAGTTAGTAGTTAGTTAGTTAGTTAGTTAGTTAGTTAGTTAGTTAGTTAGTTAGTTAGTAGTTAGTTAGTTAGTTAGTTAGTTAGTTAGTTAGTTAGTTAGTTAGTTAGTTAGTTAGTTAGTTAGTTAGTTAGTTAGTTAGTTAGTTAGTTTGTTAGTTAGTTAGTTAGTTTGTGTAGTTAGTTAGTTAGTAGTTAGTTAGTTAGTTAGTAGTTAGTTAGTTAGTTAGTTAGTTAGTTAGTTAGTTAGTTAGTTAGTTAGTTAGGAGTTAGTTAGTTAGTTAGTTAGTAGTTAGTTAGTTAGTTAGTAGTTAGTTAGTTAGTTAGTAGTAGTTAGTAGTTAGTTAGGTTAGTAGTTAGTAGTTAGTTAGTTAGTTAGTTAGTTAGTTAGTTAGTAGTTAGTAGTTAGTTAGTTAGTTAGTTAGTTAGTTAGTTAGTTAGTTAGTAGTTAGTTAGTTAGTTAGTTAGTAGTTAGTTAGTTAGTTAGTTAGTTAGTTAGTAGTTAGTTAGTTAGTTAGTAGTTAGTTAGTTAGTTAGTTAGTAGTTAGTTAGTTAGTTAGTAGTTAGTTAGTTAGTTAGTTAGTTGTTAGTTAGTTAGTTAGTTAGTTAGTTAGTTAGTTAGTTAGTAGTTAGTAGTTAGTTAGTTAGTAGTTAGTTAGTTAGTTAGTTAGTAGTTAGTTAGTTAGTTAGTTAGTTAGTTAGTAGTTAGTTAGTTAGTAGTTAGTAGTTAGTAGTTAGTTAGTTAGTTAGTTAGTTAGTAGTTAGTTAGTTAGTTAGTTAGTTAGTTAGTAGTTAGTTAGTTAGTAGTTAGTTAGGTAGTTAGTTAGTTAGTTAGTTAGTAGTTAGTAGTTAGTTAGTAGTTAGTTAGTTAGTTAGTTAGTTAGTAGTTAGTTAGTTAGTTAGTTAGTTAGTTAGTAGTAGTTAGTTAGTTAGATAGATAAATAGTTAGCTAGTTATCGCACTCTATGGGACAACAAGTCCTCCCAAGTCCTCATGTTTCCTATGATGGCAAATACTTGTATAAAAATTCTATATTGCTACTTCGCTTCTTTCCCCAAACCTAGATTATGTAACCAATCGATTAATTTTCGTATGAAATAAAAATCTTCTGTTTTAGCATGTTCTCTTATTTTATGAGTTTATGAATTTTATATATTTTTATAAAAGTTTTACGCTTACAAAACTAAAACTTATACAATAATTAAGTAAATTATAAGCTGGGCTTTTGTAATTTAACTTAAAGAATACATTTTTAGAAAAATATAAAATAAAATTAACACAATCTTTTCAAATTATTAAAAAAATATTGATAAATTAAATTATATATACAACATATAAAAAAATTAATTTGCTTAAAATTAAATGAGGAAAATATAAAAATATTAAAACTAAAACTTAAAGGATTTCATTTCCAATGTTTTAGTTTAGATTATTTTCAATTGGAAATCATAATACTACATTATTTATTACTGGCGTATATTTTAAGGTTATGTTTTAATATTAATTTATTATTAATTAATTTTAATTGTAATAATAATAATTATATTTAGAATCAACCACATATAAAATACACAAAAAATTATAAACAATCACAGGAAATGCAGCAAGGTGTTTTTAATTTTTTTTTTCTTAAATTTGTAATAATTTTTTTTTTAATTTTCAATAACTACACACTACAAAATTTGTCAATTTTACTTTTTTTATAAATAAGTAAACATTAGTGTTTTTAAAAATAAATTAATTTATAGCCTATGAGGGACAGAGAGGAAGGATGTGAGTGCATAAGATAGAGGAGAGAGGTTTTTGTTTAAATTGCTAAATTTTTAAATTTTTTATATCGGCTTTGAGTCGAACTTCTTTAAGCACCGATATTTAAGTAACCAGCCTTATATTTTTTTTAATTAAACTTAAATAAAATTTAAATACTAATGATAAGGGCGATATGTGTTGTCTACACCATTTACATATGAATAATTGTAAAACCTTGATGCATACAATATCGATCGAAGTTACATTGTTTTGACATTTCCGTCGATTTCGATAGATATCAATTTTGACGCGTGCATCAAGTCAAACTTGTAAAAACCTAAATCAGTTTAAGAGCGTGTAAATGGGATGATCTTCTTATGGAATGAAAATACAATATTTTAAATGTGTATGAGTGTGTTTCTGTGTGCTTTTCTAATCTAAAGTGACTAAATTTATCTTACTGAGATATGTTGTGTCTGGAATAATTTCTATTTTCATATAAAATTGAAATAGATTTTATTTTTAAATATTAAATGTTGCAGCTCTTTGTTGTTGCTGTTGATGCAACAGATGCAGTTTGTCTTTGCTCCTGTTGCAATTTATGAGCAATATGTTGCAAAAGTTTAGCATCATTCTGTTGCTGTTCATTAGTAGTTTCAGGGGTTGATGTCTCGTTATCTTCATCACTGTCAATATTAAATCTGACATGATGATGACGACGATGATGATGATGTCTATGGTGTTTGTGTTTGTGTTGAGCTTCTGCAATTTCTTTCTCTTCTTTTGCTTGTTGTTTTTGCTGTTCCTGTTCTTCCATTTGTTCTCTAATCTGTTGTAATTTCAAGTGTCTCTTATGTTGAAAGTGCTCCCGGTGTAGTTGTTGCTGCATTTCCTTTTCCTCATTTATTGAGGCCGTATTATCGTTGGGATCCAAGTGATTGTCGGCGGTTGGTGCTAAATATGTGGTCGATTCGGTATCGTGTAATTCATGGGTCATATTAAAGACTTGACGTCTAAGATTAGCATACATTCCTTCTTCGTCCTTATTGTGTTTCTGATTGATGGGCGCAAATGAGGCGTATCCAATCATTTTGACGTCTAATCTTGGGTACCTGCCAAAAGCAATTAAGATTTTTTATTAATTATTTAGTTTTAAAAAGTAAATTTAAGTGATGTATTCAATTTTAAAATACCATACATCAATATTAATTAATTTCGGAAGCAGAACAGATCTATAAATTTAGAACATGTATTGTTTATAGTATTGTTTACTATCTAGTGTATGGTCAAAACTATATAGACTATACTAGTATGTAGACCAGACTATAGACTACACTGTAGACTAGACTGTAGCCTAGACTGTAGACTAGACTGTAGTAGTGCTGTAATATTCTACTACTTTTGATTACTCAATACTACTCAATACTTTTCGTTTGGGTACTCAATACTACTCGATACTTTTAACGGTTTTATTTTATATCAAAAACGAGGAATTTTTCCTTTTTTTAAGTAAAGTTAGACCAGACATCACACCTCTTTTGAGACATTTTATTTTTTTAGATAGCGTCGATAAATATTTGTAACTTTTAACTATTATTGCAGTGTTTAAATTATTTTTACATTGATTTGATATTGCTAAGAGTTGCATTTCTAATAATGATATGGTCTATATTAGATTTTAGAGCTGTATTTTTTCACATCATAGCCGTTAAATTTAAATAAGTTAAATCCATATACAAGTCTGAAAGTATTGAGTAACTACTTTTTAGTATTGAGTACCCAAAAAATACGGCAAATACTCGATACTCGATACCCACTACTCAATACTTTAACAGCACTAGACTGTAGACTAGATTAGATTATAGACTAGACTACTGACTACAATATAGATTAGATTACTGACTAGGCTATTGACTAGATAATAGACTATGTTATAGACTAGGCTATTGCCTAGATAATAGACCAGACTATAGACTATACACTAAACTATAGACTAGATTATAGATTAGTAGTAGTTTAGTCTAGTTATAGACTACACTAGATTATGGACTAATAGTAGTTCAGTTCTAGTTCAGTTCTAGTTCCGTTCTAGTTCAGTTCTAGTTCAGTTCTAGTTCAGTTCTAGTTCAGTTCTAGTTCAGTTCTAGTCAGTTCTAGTTCAGTTCTAGTTCAGTTCTAGTTCAGTTCTAGTTCAGTTCTAGTTCAGTTCTAGTCAGTTCTTCAGTCTAGTCAGTTCTAGTTCAGTTCTAGTTCAGTTCTAGTTCGTTCTAGTTCAGTTCTAGTTCAGTTCTAGTTCAGTTCTAGTTCAGTTCTAGTCAGTTCTAGTTCAGTTCTAGTTCAGTTTAGTTCAGGTTTCTAGTTCAGTTCTAGTTCAGTTCTAGTTCAGTTCTAGTTCAGTTCTAGTTCAGTTTCTAGTTCAGTTCTAGTTCAGTTCTAGTTCTAGTTCAGTTAGTTCAGTTCTAAGGGGTTTCAGTTCTAGTTCAGTTCTAGTCAGTTCAGTAGTTCAGTTCTAGTTCCAGTTCTAGTTCATTTCTAGTTCAGGTTCTAGTTCAGTTCTAGTTCAGTGTTCTAGGTATTCAGTTCTAGTTCAGTCTCGAGTTCAGCTCTAGTTCAGCTCTAGTTCAGCTCTAGTTCAGCTCTAGTTCAGTTTCTAGTTCAGTTCTAGTTCAGTTCTAGTTCAGTTCTAGGTTCAGTTCTAGTTCAGTTCTAGTCAGTTTCTAGTTCAGTTCTAGTTCAGTTCTAGTTCAGTTCTAGTTCAGTCTAGTTCAGTTATAGTTTTCAGTTCTAGTTCAGTTCTAGTTCAGCTTCTAGTTTCAGCTCTATGTTCAGGCTCTAGTTCAGTCTGTCTTCTAGTTCAGTTCTAGTTCAGTTCTAGTTCAGTTCTAGTTCAGTTCTAGTTCAGTTCTAGTTCAGTTTAGTTCAGTTCTAGTTCAGTTCTAGTTCAGTTCTAGTTCAGTTCTAGTTCAGTTCTAGTTCAGTTCTAGTTCAGTTCTAGTTCAGTTCTAGTTCAGTTCTAGTTCAGTTCTAGTTCAGTTCTAGTTCAGTTCTAGTTCAGTTCTAGTTCAGTTCTAGTTCAGTTCTAGTCAGTTCTAGTTCAGTTCTAGTTCAGTTCTAGTTCAGTTCTAGTTCAGCTCTAGTTCAGCTCTAGTTCAGCTCTAGTTCAGCTCTAGTTCAGCTCTAGTTCAGTTCTAGTTCAGTTCTAGTTCAGTTCTAGTTCAGTTCTAGTTCAGTTCTAGTTCAGTTCTAGTTCAGTTCTAGTTCAGTTCTAGTTCAGTTCTAGTTCAGTTTAGTTCAGTTCTAGTTCAGTTCTAGTTCAGTTCTAGTCAGTTCTAGTTCAGTTCTAGTTCAGTTCTAGTTCAGTTCTAGTTCAGTTCTAGTTCAGTTCTAGTTCAGTTTAGTTCTAGTTCAGTTCTAGTTCAGTTCTAGTTCAGTTCTAGTTCAGTTCTAGTTCAGTTCTAGTTCAGTTCTAGTTCAGTTCTAGCTCAGTTCTAGTTCAGTTCTAGTTCAGTTCTAGTTCAGTTCTAGTTCAGTTCTAGTTCAGTTCTAGTTCAGTTCTAGTTCAGTTCTAGTTCAGTTCAGTTCAGTTCTAGTTCAGTTCTAGTTCAGTTCTAGTTCAGTTCTAGTTCAGTTCTAGTTCAGTTCTAGTTCAGTTCTAGTTCAGTTCTAGTTCAGTTCTAGTTCAGTTCTAGTTCGTTCTAGTTCAGTTCTAGTTCAGTTCAAGTTCAGTTCTAGTTCAGTTCTAGCTCAGTTCTAGTTCAGTTCTAGTTCAGTTCTAGTTCAGTTCTAGTTCAGTTCTAGTTCAGTTCTAGTTCAGTTCTAGTTCAGTTCTAGTTCAGTTCTAGTTCAGTTCTAGTTCAGTTCTAGTTCAGTTCTAGTTCAGTTCTAGTCAGTCTAGTAGTTCTAGTTCAGTTCTAGTTCAGTTCTAGTTCAGTTCTAGTTCAGTTCTAGTTCAGTTCTAGTTCAGTTCTAGTTCAGTTCTAGTTCAGTTCTAGTTCAGTTCTAGTTCAGTTCTAGTTCAGTTCTAGTTCAGTTCTAGTTCAGCTTCTAGTTCAGTTAGTTCAGCTCTAGTTCAGTTGCTAGTTCAGTTCTAGTTCAGTTCTAGTTCAGTTCTAGTTCAGTTCTAGTTCAGTTCTAGTTCAGTTCTAGTTCAGTTTCTAGTTCAGTTCTAGTTCAGTTCAGTAGTTCAGTTTCTAGTTCAGTTCTAGTTCAGTTCTAGTTCAGTTCTAGTTCAGTTCTAGTTCGTTCTAGTTCAGTTCTAGTCGTTCAGTCAGTTCTAGTTCAGTTCTAGTTCAGTTCTAGTTCAGTTTCTAGTTCAGTTTAGTTCAGTTCTAGTTCAGTTCTAGTTCAGTTCTAGTTCAGTTCTAGTTCAGTTCTAGTTCAGTTCTAGTTCAGTTCTAGTTCAGTTCTATAGTTCAGTTCTAGTTCAGTTCTAGTTCAGTTCTAGTTCAGTTCTAGTTCAGTTCTAGTTCAGCTCTAGTTCAGCTCTAGTTCAGCTCTAGTTCAGCTCTAGTTCAGCTCTAGTTCAGTTCTAGTTCAGTTCTAGTTCAGTTCTAGTTCAGTTCTAGTTCAGTTCTAGTTCAGTTCTAGTTCAGTTCTAGTTCATTCTAGTTCAGTTCTAGTTCAGTTTAGTTCTCGTTCAGTTCTAGTTCAGTTCTAGTTCAGTTCTAGTTCAGTTCTAGTTCAGTTCTAGTTCAGTTCTAGTTCAGTTCTAGTTCAGTTCTAGTTCAGTTCTAGTCAGTTCTAGTTCAGTTCTAGTTCAGTTCTAGTTCAGTTAGCTCAGTTCTAGTTCAGTTCTAGTTCAGTTCTAGTTCAGTTCTAGTTCAGTTCTAGTTCAGTTCTAGTTCAGTTCTAGTTCAGTTCTAGTTCAGTTCTAGTTCAGTTCTAGTTCAGTTCTAGTTCAGTTCTAGTTCAGTTCGTTCAGTATAGTTCAGTTCTAGTTCAGTTCTAGTTCAGTTCTAGTTCAGTTCTAGTTCAGTTCTAGTTCAGTTCTAGTTCAGTTCTAGTTCAGTCTAGTTCAGTTCTAGCTCAGTTCTAGTTCAGTTCTAGTTCAGTTCTAGTTCAGTTCTAGTTCAGTTCTAGTTCAGTTCTAGTTCAGTTCTAGTTCAGTTCTAGTTCAGTTCTAGTTCAGTTCTAGTTCAGTTCTAGTTCAGTTCTAGTTCAGTTCTAGTTCAGTTCTAGTTCAGTTCTAGTTCAGTTCTAGTTCAGTTCTAGTTCAGTTTCTAGTTCAGTTCTAGTTCAGTTCTAGTTCAGTTCTAGTTCAGTTCTAGTTCAGTTTAGTTAGTTCTAGTTCAGTTCTAGTTCAGTTCTAGTTCAGTTCTAGTTCAGTTCTAGTTCAGTTCTAGTTCAGTTCTAGTTCAGTTCTAGTTCCAGTTCTAGTTCAGTTCTAGTTCAGGTTCTAGTTCAGTTCTAGTTCAGTTCTAGTTCAGTTCTAGTTCAGTTCTAGTTCAGTTCTAGTTCAGTTCTAGTTCAGTTTCTAGTTCAGTTCTAGTTCAGTTCTAGTTCAGTTCTAGTTCAGTTCTAGTTCCGTTCTAGCTCAGTTCTAGTTCAGTTCTAGTTCAGTTAGTTCAGTTCTAGTTCAGTTCTAGTTCAGTTCTAGTTCAGTTCTAGTTCAGTTCTAGTTCAGTTCTAGTTCAGTTCTAGTTCAGTTCTAGTTCAGTTCTAGTTCAGTTCTAGTTCAGTTCTAGTTCAGCTTCTAGTTCAGTTCTAGTTCAGTTCTAGTTCAGTTCTAGTTCAGTTCTAGTTCAGTTCTAGTTCAGTTCAGTTTCATTGCGATCGGACGTATTATTCAAAAGCTCCCGTTTTAAATCTATTTTTACTGTGAAAAGTGTGTGTGAATAAATCAAACAATTTACATATATCTATCTAGAATTAAAAAACATAAATTCTGATACTATAAACCGCAAATATAATAATATATATTCGGTGAAATTACATAAAACAAAAACTGAAATTTTAATCACATAAATCTAAGCCTATACAAAATAAATCAAGAAAACAAAAGAATAATAAAAACATCAAAAATGAGCAACGTTTTCTGCAACCAATGCAAAAACAAAATTACTACAACAAACTATGTAAAGTGTTATAATT